CAACAAACATGGCTTTTTCGACTTCGTAGGAAGGCAAGTTTCCAGACCTGAGCATCCTTTCAGCATGACAGAAGCCTCCATGCTGTTTGGGGCATTGTGCATTTTGGAGCAATGCTTTTTAGCTTTCCATTGTGTCCAAGATGAGCTAGATCTTATTTTGTTTAAAATTTTATTTTACCATTTTTCTTTTTTACTTCATATTCACAGTAAAATGACCCAACGTGAAGGACAGGCTTTTGGGCCACTGTGCATGTGTACCACTTGCAAACCCCGATGCTCCTTCAGAAGGCGTTTGGGCTAACCTTGGGCAGAGCGGTCTGAGAGAATCCTCTCCTTGTCCTAAGGACGTACACCAGAGCAGCCGACAAGTTTCTATTGGAAGAAGGATTGGATTGTGGTGTGCCGCCCAAGGACTGTTTGCCTTTTGTGGCCCCATTAGGTCAGTGTCAGAACTAGAGAAGACAGTTCAGGTTGAGAGAGAGACAGGACCAAGAGGAAGAGCAGTGATGAGAACAGGACCCAGGAGGGTCTGAACTGGGGGCCAGAGACATGAAGCCAAGACCAAACGGACCCCGTGGTCCCCTCACCTGAAAGATCAGCAGAGTCATCTTCCTGGAACAGAAAATGAGGGCACAGATGAGCCTGCGCTGCCAGCTCACACAGTCACATGGGAAGACACAGCCAGAGTAAAAGCAGGTGACAAGTGGGACATGGCCTGGATGGTCAAGAAGTGCCTTTGCCTGGAGGTTTTTCTTCTTTTGTTTATCCTCCCCAGAGTATTTTTTCCATTGATTTTTTTTAGAACCAGTGGAAGGGATTTGGGGGTGGGTGGGAGATGGGAGGGAAACATTGATGTGGGAGAGAGACATCAATTGGTTGCCTGCTGCACATGCCTGACCAGGGCCAGGGATCAAACCTGCAACTGAGGTACGTGCTCTTGAATGGGAATCGAATCTGAGAATCAAGCCCAAGACCCTTGAATGCACAGGCCGGCACTCTAACCACTGAGCAGCGCCGGCCAGGGCTGCCTGGTGGCTTTTTAAGCTGGGATCTTGATAGAAGGCCGTCTGAGAGGGCATGCCTAGAATATAATTCCCAGTTCAGTTAGCCAACTGGTTTCGTGTAAAAAACAAAACAAATGGAACAATAATAAAATCACCTGTAATGACTACATTTTTGTGGGGTGGGAATCAAAGGGTAGTAAAATACCCAAGAATGCACCCGCCTAGGGCTCAAAATCAAGAGCAAATTGGTCCTCCCACAGAGAACTTCAATGGCTACAAGCAACCCTAACATTGTTTGGGGGGAGGAGTGGGTGAAATGGACAAGCAGCTACTCAGTTTGAAAGGAAAAAGTACAGCAACAGGGGAATCCGGTTTCAGAAACCCTGTCCGGCCCCTGGCTGCTGCCCCTCCAGCACATCAGCCCTCTGCCTTTCTTCACCTTTTCCATCTCATTCTGCTGGGTTTTATCATGATTTTTAATCTCTGCTTCTCTGTGTTTACATTTAAGATCCTTCAGAGTTAAATATAAAAAAAAAAATCGGTCAAATCTGGTATACATTAACACAGGATCGTGAGGTAGACTTCTATACCAAAAATGATTTTTGAAAAGTAATTCAACCTCCTGTCAGCATTTGCCTCTGGGGTGATGGCAGATGTTCTATGCCACTTAAACTAACTTCTGTTTTCTTACAATGAGTTTGGGTTTTTAGTATAAGAAAAAAAATTTTTTTCATGTGGTAATGTAAAACTTGTGAACATATTTTTATATTAAAACAATCTCATGGGTTGTTTTTAACTAGTAATAACTTGGAAATTTTATACTGTCTCTTCAAATTATAAGTAGAATAATTACCCATATTGTCCCAAAATACACTTAGTGCCAACTTTTAAAACCCCATACCATTGGAATAACATGGCATTTTGTGCACCGATGCCAAAAATAAACAGATTCAAAGCTGTAATGAAGCAAAGAGGGGGTGGTTGTGGATAAGAACACCGAACAGACTTGTACAAATATTTTTAAGAGTTCCTGTGTAGTCATTAAAAAAGAAATTTTAATGACTTCATAAAATTTAACTTTAAAAAATATTTATGTTTTAAGACAACCACTTTAAAAAAGGTTTAAAAAGAACATTCCTCCTTTTTTTAAGTGAAGGGCACGCTCTTTTTTAATCTTTTTGTTTTACTATGAACACAAAATAAGAATTCACATGCAATATAAAGCAAAATCTAAGAATCCCCTGCTTACCCCTTCCCCCCAAAATGACTGCTAATGATCTCCTACCAGAAAATCAGTATTTTAAATAGAGAGGGCTTGTCTGATAAAGAACCTGAGGGGTCTTTTGTGGTAGTGGTTAAATAGGTAGTCATGACCAGTCATCAAGCAATGTACTTTTCTGTATATATATTTTTTTTAAATATATTTTTATTGAATTCAGAGAGGAGGAAGAGGGAGGGAGAGATAGAAACATCCATGAAGAGAGAGAATCATGGTGGATCAGCTGCCTCCTGCAAGTCCCCCAAGGGGGATCAAGCCCACAACCCTGGCATGTGCCCTTGACCAGAATCGAACCTGGGATCTTTCAGTTCGCAGGTTGAAGCTCTATCCATTGAGCCAAACCGGCTAGGGCTGTATATTTCTTTTTAATTGATGAGAGAGAGAGAGAGAGAGAGAGAGAGAGAGAGAGAAAGAGAAAGAGAGGGAGGGAGGGAGGGAGGGAGGGAGAGAGAGAGAGAAAAGAAGGTGGGAGAAAGGGAGAGGGGGAGAATGAGATAAACACTGATTTGATGTTCCCTTATCCTTATTTATGCATTCATTGGTTAATTCTTGTATGTGCCCTGATTTGGGGGGGGGCGGGGATCGAACTCCCAACTTTGGGGTATCAGGATGATTCTTCAATCAAGTGAGCTAACCACCAGGGCTTGTATGTGCATCTCAATGAAAGGGTTAAAAATGGGAGGCCAGAGAAAGTAATTTGAAACTAAGTATAAAGAGCAGCAAATATCTGACCAGCAAGACCTCCTGAATAGTTTACAATGAGAGTCAGGAGTCATGTCTAAAAAGCAGCAAGTTTGAAAAAGGTATCCAGCATCACTCCCAGGAACTACAGAAATGATGAAACACTGTTGCGTTAGCATATTCCAGATAAGAATTCATTCCAGTACCTAAGGGACAATTACCCACAGACTATTTTATAAAATGAAATTGCTTCTTATTTTCAAGATGAGCTCTTGGAGATAAGATGTAGAGATAGAGGAGCTGCCATTTAAGGGAAGACTCTATCTGATAAGCCGTCAGCTTTCCGTTCAGGTTGGAGAGCTGTCAACAACCAAGTGGACAGACCTCTGGGCTATTTCAGCAGACAGAACTGAGAGCCCTGAGCTGAGCGCTCTGAGGAGTCTTCTCTACACTGTGTTCCACGTGGCCGCTGCAATGGAAGGCTGCCATGTCCACCTGGATTAAACACCCCTAAGGCTGTAAGGTACCAAACTGTTTGCTAACAGGTACACGGAGGCTTAGAGACGAGGCACAGCAGCCAGGACAGCATCACCCTTCTCAGTTCAGGTGTTATCTTTTATCTCTCCAATCTCCTACCATCCAGGAATTTCCTTCCACCCAGGGCAGAGCAGGCTGTTGCTTAGCAACTTCAACAAGTCACATCCCAAATATGGAATAGATGTGGCTAAAATAAACACCGTGACAAAAATCACTGCAAGTTACAACTGGGAGGGGCCAAAGATAGGAAACACAGAGACTTTTTTGTTTTACTCTGACCTGTGAACACCACACCATGCCCTGACCATGTTGCTTACAGGTTTTAACTGACTTTACAGAAACCCAGAGGAAGGATAGGAATTCGTTTTGGCTTTCAGTCCCTTTCAATTCAGTGATGCTCAAGACTGCCCTTCTTCCCTTGCACGATGGGCCAGAGAACTTCTATCACTTATCTCTACATCACAAAACGCTGGGAGGGAGGACTGTGGTATTTATTTCTGCAGAGGACCTGGAGCAGCTTGTACCGGTTCAATCAATTAAACATTAACTAGGGGTTTTCTGTCTCTAGTTTTCTGGTAAAACACCTGCAACCCGAAGCGTTCTCTCCAGTTCTGACGTTCCCAGTAGCGATCACCTCGAGAACCACAGGGAACTACCGTGGGGGGCTGTTACCCTTTCCTTCGGGACGAATGACTAACAGATCCCACGGCTCCAGGACTCGGCAGAGGGAAGACAGACCCGCGAAGGGGCCAATGTCCGCGTTTATTGCACAGAAACCCCTCGCCTTGCCTCGCCTCCGGTGCTGGGTTCCGTCCCCCGCTGGGCAGTCACGCAGGTATTTGTTAGGGGTGCAGCGAAGGCCCACAGCCCCCCCCCTCAAAATGTTCCCCGGGGGACCCACCACACACGCTACAGGCGAAAAGGTTCAGCCTCTGAGAGAGGAAGGCGCGGAGACGGCCGAGACAGAGCCCCGGGCTCCCAGGAGTTCGCAGGAGGGCAAACCCGTCGGCAAAGTAACTACAGACCGTCCGACAAGTACCGAAGCCGAGCGAGGCGGCGGCAGAGCGTTCCACGGCGGAAACACCAGGCGCTTCACCTCCGCGGGGGCGAAGGGCAGGCCACGCTCCGGGTCGAAACCTCCCCAACAACCCGTCCCGGGGCAGGGCACCGAGGCGCCCGAGAAAACAGGGCCGGCTCCCACCCGGAGCTGGGAACCGCGCCCCTCGGCACCCCTAGGACCCGGGGGGCTCCCCTCCTCACCCCGCGGCCCCCTCCTCACCCCTGCCGGACGCGACCTGACCTAGGCAGCCCCGAAACCCCGCGGGGATCTGGGCACCGACTGGCCTCCCTCCACTGGCCCGGCTGTCCCGCGCCCCAGCAGGGCCCCCCCGCGCCCCTGCCCGGCCCAACCCCGAGCTGCAGCTCCTCCCCACTCACGACCCCCACACCGAGCCGGGCCAGGCGCCTCCACCACCAGCCCGAGACCCGGGGAACCGCACCTCGGGCGGGACCCGGCGGCGGCGGACGGTGCCGTGGGGCTCAGCGCATCCTGGGGTCGCAGGGAGCCGGAAGAGGGCCGCGCGCGCCCCCAGCCGGTTATTGTAACCCCGCAGGGCCGCAGCTGAAGGCGGGCGGGCCCACGGCACTTCCGCCTCCCGCGCTGGGCCGGCCGGCGCCAGACCGGAAAGCCCCATTGGCCACCTAGCGCCCACTTAGGGCGCCCGCCTCCCCGAGGCCGACGCCGCCATCTTAGGAGTGGGCAGGCCTCCCCTGAAAACGGGTGACGGAGGCGCTGGGACGCCGGTTGGGCAGCGTCTGCAGGGGCGAGTCAAGCTCTGGGAACCGAGGGCGTCGCCCAGACTAGGCGGGCGGATCGGGAGACGGTTCACAGCCCTCGGTTCTTGTATCGTTTTCTTGTTGGGTTTGGGGCTGGGGCTTGTCCATCCCCACCCGTGCGGGGTACCGAACCAGGCAAACGTGATGGCGTGACCCACCCCGGCGGGCGGGCAGCTCCACCCCGCCCATCGCCCGACATCAAGCCGACAGCCCGAGGTTCCTCTCCGCTGAAAGGCAGTTTAGGGCTGTGGCTGTGTAAACGGGCAGGTGTCTCTTGCCCTCAGGTTGCAGGAGGGTCTGTATCACAAGCTCCAGGGAACTGTGTTGACGAAAATCTGATGTTAACTTTAAAGCAGGAATTTGTTCTTTGCCTTTCAGTCGCTTAACCAATGGTCCACATAGCCAAAGAGTGGAATAAAAAGGACCTGCTTACAGCCAAGGGCGACAATGACCAATCCTGAAAGGATTTTTTTTTTTTTGGCTTTTTATTTTATTTTTATTTTTTTAATTAAATCTTTATTGTTCAGATTATTACAATTGTGCCTCTTTTTTCCCCCCCGCATAGCTCCCCTCCACCCGGTTCCCACCCCACCCTCTGCCCTTCCCCCCCACACACACTGTCTTCATCCATAGGTGCACGATTTTTGTCCAGTCTCTTCCTGCACCCCCACACCTCTTTCCCCCCAAGAATAGTCAGTCCACTCCCTTTCTATGCCCCTGATTCTATTATATTTACCAGTTTATTCTGTTCATCAGATTATTCACTTGATTTTTAGATTCACTTGTTGATAGATGTGTCTTTGTTGTTCATAATTTGTATCTTTACCTTTTTCTTCTTCTTCCTCTTCTTAAAGAATATCTTTCAGCATTTCATATAATACTGGTTTGGTGGTGATGAACTCCTTTAGCTTTTTCTTATCTGTGAAGCTCTTTATCTGACCTTCAATTCTGAATGATAGCTTTGCTGGGTAAAGTAATCTTGGTTGTAGGTTCTTGCTATTCATCATTTTGAATATTTCTTGCCACTCCCTTCTGGCCTGCATAGTTTCTGTTGAGAAATCAGCTGATAGTCGTATGGGTATTCCCTTGTATGTAACTGAGTTTCTTTCTCTTGCTGCTTTTAAGATTCTCTCTTTGTCTTTTGCTCTTGGCATTTTAATTATGATGTGTCTTTGTGTGGTCCTCTTTGGATTCCTTTTGTTTGGGGTTCTCTGTGCTTCCTGGACTTGGAAGTCTATTTCTTTCACCAGGTAGGGGAAGTTTTCTGTCATTATTTCTTCAAATAGGTTTTTAATATCTTGCTCTCTCTCTTCTTCTGGCACCCATATAATTCAGATGTTGGTACGGTTGAAGCTGTCCCAGAGGCTCCCTTACACTATCTTCGTATTTTCGGATTCTTTTTTCATTTTGCTTTTCCGGTTGGGTGTTTTTTGCTTCTTCGCATTTCAAATCTTTGACTTGATTCTTGCGCTCCTCTGGTCTGCTGTTGGGTGTCTGTATAATATTCTTTATTTCAGTCAGTGTATGCTTAATTTCTAGTTGGTTCTTTATCACAACATCGAGGGTCTCATTAGATTTCTTGAGGATCTTATCAAGTTTATCGGCAGTTTCTAGAAGATTATTGAAAGACCTTAAAAGTGCGTTTTTTAGCTCTATATCCTCCATTTCTGTCATGTTTCTTTTGTCTCCGCATTTTTTATGCTTTCTTGGTGCACCCCCTTGTGGTCTTTGTGCGCAGTCTTGTTGTAGTTAAGCCTTAATTGTTGTCGGCAATACTGGGGGTGAATTGACCTCCAGGCTAACTGGCTATGAGAGTCAAGTGTGTCTGCAGTGGGAGAGCTTCTGTGCTGGATCTCTAGGGCGGTGCTAGTCTAGCGTTTGCCTAAGGCTATTCGGCAAATGCCTCTGTGCAGGGCTTGGGCGGGGCGGGTCCCAGGGGATCTACAGGGTGGGCGGAGCAAGCAGTTATGGCTGCTCTCAGTTCCGTCCCCAGGGGCTCTGCCTCTCAGAGTCCTAGGAGAGAAAACTGCATTTGAGTTCTGACCAAAGCCAGACAGTCCCGCTTCTCCCGTTTGAGTCTGGGTCCCTAGAGACTCGCCCGGATCTGGGGCTCAGAGTCTGAAACTCCCTCCCGATTGAAAACAACAACCGCGCCCTCCGCCGCCAGCCCGCTCCACATGCACTCCGCACCTTAGTATTTCACTTCTGCACTGTGCCTCCTCTGAGTCTCGGTATGGATTTCTCTTCCTTCTAGTTGTA